CTGTCCTTCCACAGTCCTCATTTCCCTTCCTTGTGATTATCCTTTCAGGCCTCCCCACACACAGACACCCTTTTCTTTTTGGTATCTTGAAAAAAGGTCTCAGTATGTGTCCAGGCCAGCCTTGAATTCACTGTGCACTCCGGGCTGGCCTCGAACTCAAGATGACCCTCCTGCCTTAGCCTCCCGAGCCCTGGGATCACAGGTGTGCACTGCCTGGCAAGGCCTCAAGGCTTGCATGTGTTGTCCCCAACTCCCCATCACCCACCAAGCTTGAAATCCACATCTTATGTTCAGTTATCTTCTTGTCACCCACCTTTGTGCCTCTGAACAGGTAGATATCTTCTTGAGGCTCAAATTTAAGGTAAATCTAGCTTCTGCCTGTTCACAGAGAGCTTTCAGCCTGGCTTTGTACTAAAAAAAATGATAAATGACTCAGATACCAGGATCCATAGCCGTAAAACTCTGGCAAGCTCTTTGCTATTGGTACATGAGGAGGTAACATGTAAAAGAAGAGAGGGGCTGCCATGTGGCTCAAAGGTAGAGCACATGCTTAGCATGATTGAGAATGCAGCTTAGTGCAGGGGTTCTAGGTTCAGTCCCCAGTCGGCGGGGGTGGGGGGGAGGATAAGCCATTCAGAATAACTAACAACTTCATCACCGCAGAACGTTTCATATCTTTGGTCGAGCCATTTCCTCAGCTCCGCCCCCAAGGAAATGTTGTTTTTATCTATCGCGTGGGCTCGTTCTCACTGTGCCCGTGGGACTTAATTCTCATGACCACATCTGCACTGGTTGGGCGTGGCTTCCCGATGACTAGGGCAGTGGGGGCAAAGCTGTGGCCCGTGTGCTGCAGCAAGCAGGGAAGGCTCCCAGAGGTTTGCCACCACTGCTCTAGGGCATTCATCTCTGTTTCATTTTGGGTTTTGTTGTTTGTTGTTAGGGTTTCTCTATGTAGTTCAGGCTGGCCTCAAAACTCAGGCAAGGGGAAACAAAAAAAAGGTGGTCCTCAGCTTAGAGCATTCTTCTGTAAGTGAGTTCTTCTCTGTAGCTAACTGGGAGCTTCATAGCCAGATACGGTATATGTTGAAATGTTTTATTTTTCAGACAGTCTCAATATAGTTCTCGAGGCTAGCCTCAAATCTAGTGATCCTTCTGCCTCAGCCAGCCAAGTGCTGGATGTACACCACAGTGATTGGCTTAAAATGTTCAAATGTTTCTACTAAATGCTTTTCTGAACCCAAAAGACTTAGTGTTTGGGAGCTGGGGTATAGCTCAGTTGTAAAGCACTTGCTTAGCCTGCCTAAGGCCCTGAGCTCAATCACCAGTGCTACAGAAAGAGCCAGGTGTGGTGTGCACCTGGAACCCCAGCACTCGGGAGGCTGAGGCAGGGAGGTCGTTGCAAGCTGAAGGCCAGCCTGAACTGCATAGTGAGACTCTGTTTCAAAAAGACAAAAAAAGGAAGGGAGGGAAGGAAAGGGATGGAAAAAAGAAGCCAGAGGGAGGGAGGAGGTGGATAAAAACAGTGTTGGTTCGACGGCTAGTGCTTGCTTCCACACCATATAAAATGACTGTTCCCAACCCTGCCCCCACACACACAGGTTGCAGGCCCTCCGTTAGTTACTGCGACAACCACAGCAGTGTCTTCAGTCCTGCTGTCCCCAAGTGTTTTCCAGCAGACTGTTCCAAGGTCCACAGACCTTGAGAGGAAAGCAAGTTCCCCTTCTCCCCTCACCATTGGAACACCAGAAGATCAGAGAAAGCCTTCCATTATTCTCAGCAAGTCTCAGCTCCAGGATACACTGATACATCTAATAAAGGTATGTGGGCTGTCATCATAGTCTCGGTGTTTTTCTTCTTTAATAAAAGAAAAATGTTATAAGTTCGTACATATTCAGAAGACCAATGTTGAGTAATCTAATATTTCTCCCTCATAAGTTTATACTCTTGATGGAGTAATAACTTAATAGACTCCACGGTGTTAATCATGATGGTCTGTGGGTGATGAGATTATTTGGGTAATTAGTTATACCAGTCATTTATATAATTTGTTCTTCAGCTGTTACCAGGAAGTTCTGATGAGGTAAATGTGATGCTGACATTCTCACCCTCTTGTCTCTTCCAGAATGATTCCAGCTTTCTCAGTACACTTCACAACGTTTACCTGCAGGTTCTGACAAAGAACAAAGACAACCACAATCTATGACTGGGGTGGAATAAATCTGAAGGCAGAGAGAGGGTCAACCTCAAAAACCAATAGGCTTCACCATGGAAACTTCTTTCTAAATGGAACATGGAGTTGTGAGAATTTTGAAGTTGAGCCTGTGAGCAAGAGACTCAGTCCTGAAGAATGTTTCCAAGTGACATTTCTCAGTGATAGCAGAGATTTCACTGGGAAGCATCACCAGCAGACTTTTATTTTGAGAAAACAACAAAAAGATCATTGTGTTAAGTTTTATGGGTGTTTTCATCATGTGATGAATGTGTGAAATAGGGCGTCTGGTTTTCAGCTTACTTTTCAAGGACTTAGGGAGGAGTAGCCACCAGCCTTGCAGCGCAGCTCAGCCTGCACCCCTCCCTCCCACCCACCCACTAGACGTGTCATAGATGCTGACCAGAGTAGAAATCAGTTCTAAAAGTAGCTTTGAGTTTTAAAGAATCAGCAGTTAAGTTGATACATTAGGAATTATTTGTTCAAGTGAAGTGTATTTTATATATGTGGCCCCACTTGGGCCTTTGAGATTCTGGAATTCCTCAGCATTTTGTTTCTTCGATGGCCCTGCTCGTGCTGTGTAGCAGGCTCTAGTGCAGCATTACAGCTCAGAGAGGGTCGTCCTGAGACCCGGGGCGATAGCCTTGGAAATCGGCTGGGGCTAGGAATGTTCAAGTCCTACCAGAAATGTTCATTTTAAGTTAAACTTGCCAGTGGTTTTGAAAATGTTAGTTTGGTGTGTAAAACACAGCCTTTTATTTTCCTTTTCTGTCTAAACACAGTTAAAAGTCATTGTTAATTTTTTCTTTAACACTGACAAAAGAACTGGTGGACCAATCTGGTAAAGCCATTGTGGTTCCGTTCCTCAAGTGTACTGAGAACAGTTTTAAAGCTATGCAGAAAAGGGAACTGTTGCTATTCACACTGCCCTTACTTTGTTGTAGACTATGGCATTTAAAAGAAAGTATGAGATTGAGAACTTTACCCATGTGTTCCTGGGCTGTGAGTACTTCTCCAGCCCAAAGTGTGAAAATGTGTAAAGATGCTTTGTTATGCTGCTATTGATCTGCCATGATTTATATTTATTCTTTTATGGCATGTGATGTTTAGTAATATTTTAATGTAGATTTTGATTTATTTCAGCAATAGTAATTTTAAGATGTCCTTTGGATGAAGGTGTCTTCTTTTCTATGACATAGGTCGTTTTGTAGTATTTAACCAGTTACGCTGCACTGCTTGCTTTTCTGAGCACTATTTAATGATGGGGTAAAAACCCACTTGGCTCAACCAGCTCGCGTGAGCGTTAGCTGTGAATAATGCTGACAGATGAGATGGTTCCTTGAGAACAATCATTTAAGCTTTAATGGTAACTCAATCATAAACCGGTAGGGGGTTTTCTAGCTGAAATTTTAGGAATCACCTGCGAATTATGTACTTACTTTAGTTTGGTCTTATTTTTTTAGCATAAAGGATACTTCATCTGGTTGGTTTCTGTTGATCTTAAACATGCTTCCTGGACAGTGTTTCTGCGCAACTTACTGTCTTCTCTTACTGTCTGCCTACTTTGTGTGAATTCTGTAGAATTCAGGGAAGCTTATAAGTTTTCATACTCAAGTAGGAGTAGTTTGTTTTCAAAGATAGTGTTATAAACTCAGCAACCAAAACTAAATTGCTCATGCATCATCTGAGAAAGACTTACAGGAAGATAAAGTTATGGTGAGACAAGGACTGTTGCTGACACCAGGAAACGGTGTGCAGAAAGCCACATGGCTGTTTTCGTAAAATGACTTTCCAGTAGGTTTGCTCGTGCCCCAGGTGTAGTCTCAGTGGGCTTTAGTAATCAGGTGGATCAAGGATTCTCGTTGTAATAGACATTTGAATTTAAATGATGCTTTTGAGTATGTTTAATAATATGAGAGAGTACCCTAAAGAGGGTCTATAATCAGTCTGTTAATTTTCATCCTTTAATCCTAGGAATGAATACGATGTACAGTGAAAGAAAATCAGTGATAAGGCTTCCTTAGTGTGAAAGTAAACTTCTAAGTGCCCAAGTCATGGAAGCTTGAAAAGGGTAAACCTGGCTCCCTCCCGGGTTTCTATATTCAGTCCATTTGCTTAAACTTCAGAAGCCCGAAGTTGTGGTCGTGATCGCCAGGAAGTCCCGGCCAGAATGCATCCCAGAGAGCAGGCCCGGCCTGGGCGCGCAGGTGGTGAGCTGGGCCCGCCGCAGTCAGTTGCCTTACCGCTCGTGCGGGCTTCCCTCCAGAACCTCATGCTAGCTTAGATTGCACGTTCACGTTGCTGCCGTGTCCTCACTGGGAACTTCGTGGAATGGAAATGGACACCAAGATGGACATGCTGCTTACTAGCTTTCGCAGAACCCTGGGAGGCTTGCGTTTGGACCGCTATGTCCCTCTGTCTGCGCACCCTTGTGCACCCCTGCCCCCTAACCGCTGCAGCCCAGAGCAGTAGCCCAGAGTACAGTATGCGTATGGCCTCACCAGTGGGTGGCGCTGCTCTTTATGTTGTAGAATGATGTCTTTGAATTGACACAGAAACCACACACACCTGTGTACCTCACGGCCGGCCTTACTCCTCTTTGAGCATCTCTCCTGGGATTTGCGAGTTGTGCACGTTGACCTGCTTCACCTTAGATCCTAAGCTTGCAAGTGGCCATCAGTATCAGAAGCGTTCTGTGTGTGTGGAATGTCCACAGCTTACCTTGAACAGAGTGGTGCTTTCTGTGCAGAAGTGGAGCCACTCTGGGCCCTTCGCTGCAGGAGGATGCGCAGGCTGGCTTGGCACGTGTCGGCTACATTGTGCATGTCCAAGCATTTGCGCTCTTTCCAGCCTGTGTTCTCTTGTAGAAGTTGTAAACCCCACCAAGTCCACTGTTAGGGAAATATTTTTAAACCATTCAGCTTTATTACTCTCCTACCCCAAAGAATGTAGTTTGAATTTTTCTTCTTTTGATAGTAGAGGCCATAACTGCCATTCTATTACTAATAATGCAACATGAAATTGGAGGTGCCTAACTGCTTAAAAAACAAAATCAGCCATCATACTGTAACTTGGAGAGGACGAGGCGGCACGTGCCCACGTGAGCACCCAGCACCGCCAGGAGGACCGAGGCAGCACGGGCTAGGCCTGCGGCCTTGCTGCGAGCTCCCCGCAGAGCACGTTCCTTGCCTGCCTTCGCTTTTCTTCAGCTGTGTCTACAGTACCTTCTGGAAGCAGCAGCGCCCTGTGTTTTCATTGCCCAAAATGTTAAGATCTGAGTAAAGCAAAGCAGCTTGCAGTAGGTTTTTAGAAGCTGTGTTTGAGAACACGTCCGTGAGGGCCAGGGCCTCAAGCAGCCTGGTTGTCAGCAGATTTCAGCAGGAGAGAGGCGTGCAGTGTTTCCCTCAGATCTGGATTTCCCATCTTTCTTGAACATGCAGTATCCATCCCTTTGAAGTGGGAAAAATGCAAAGTTGTGTTTCCCTCTTACCTGCGTGAATCCTTAGGAAACGTGTTTTGAAACTGTTCTAAGTGATCTTTGTATGCGGTGTCACTGCTTGGCAGTTGGCTCTCCGCCGTCCCGCGTTCTCCGCTTCCTGCAGCGTGGGGTGAGAAGCCAGGAGCTACAGCAAGGGTGTGTGTTCTGTGGGCGCAACGCTGCATCATTAACATTTTTAACGGTATGGGTTTTATACCATCTGTGTGTGTTTGCAAATATTAAGTTATTACATGTTTTAAAATGAGCATTTTTCATCTTAAATTTTATATGTTTGCAAATATATTTTTTTAATAAAATTTCAAAACCAAGTTTTAGCACCTACTAAATGTTCCCTGTGTTTTTATTCAATTTGTAGACATAGGAACTTTTAAGATGGATGTGGTAGTACACACCTGTAATCCCAGCACTTGGCACTGAGGCAGGAGGATTGCCGTGAGTTCAAGGCTATACACATATTCGTGGTCAGCCTGCGCTGCATAGTGAGACCCTTTCTAAAAAACCAAAAATAGCTTTTGAATGAATTGCTGTACCTTTCTGGGCTTCCATATTGGTACGATGGGGTGGGGACAGCAAAGAAAACCTCCCCCACCTGTTCTAGGCTGGGTCCTCAGACAACCACGTAGGCAGGCAGATAGATAGATGGGGAGCTGATAGACGAGAAGCAAGTCAGCGTAGTCTGGGCAATTTAGCAAAATCCTATCTCAGAACATGAAACAGGAGTTAGGGACATAGCACAGTATAAAGATTTGCTCCCCAGTACTGGAAAGAACAGTTACAACAAATTGAGCTTAAGGATCCTAAGTGGTTATTGACTCTCCAGGTCTAGAATCCAACAACATCACATTCTTCTTTTTCCTTGGGCTTTTGGTGCTAGGGAGTGACGTGAGGCCTCGCCCATGCTGCTGTCCTCATGCTGCAGCTCTCGGTTATCTTGGCAGCCTTGATCGGCAGTTTTTTGTGGCTACTGGGAATTGAAGCCAGCCACATAGCGAAACACTACCAAATGCATTTAAAAAAAAAAAAGTGAATTGGTTGGGGCTGGGGAGATAGCCTAGGAGCATAAATGCCACACGGCAAGCACAAGGTCCCAAGTTTGATCCAAAAAAAATTAGTTGTTACTTCACTTTTGGTAAATCGGGGATTGACGCCATCGCCAGTTTCACATTTTACATTTGAAGTAAGTTTATCGCCTCAGTCCTCTCCCCATCCATGCCATCTTGACACAGATACAATTTATTTTCTTTTTTAAACACAACTCTTATTTTTGTTGTTTGGGTTTTTTGTTTTGTTTTTTAAGAGGGGGCCTCTCACTATGCAGTTCAAACACTTTGTAGTCCAGGTAGGTTTGGAACTTGCAGCATTCCCCCTGCCTCAGTCTCCCAAGTGCTAGGTGTACAGGTGTGTGCCACAATGCCCAGCAACAATGAAGAAGGCAGCCTCTCAAATACGAGTCCAATGTACAATCAGCTTTCCCACAAAATCACATCATTATCTGCTATTTAAATCCTGGATTATGAAGACAACAATATGTAATGTATTAATTATTGAAACTGCCCTTTTAATCAGTTTTGAAACTATCTCATTGCTATTTGTTTCTCAATAAAATAAAAAGTCATGATGACTGTGCTAAAAAAATAAATCCTGTATTATGAGTACTATATTCTTCACACAACACACACCAGCTTACTGTAGACATTATAAATGCACCTCTGCCTCCTCTCACAGGAGGGAGATACCACAAAAGTGGGGTCTTGTGCTCATTGGACAGTTTCATATCTGCCCAATTGCCGTAGATCCACATCCACAGACCAACCACAGACAGGGCAACCCCATGTACACTGATAGAATTCCTGGAAAGACCCTGCTCTCAAAACCCAGACAGCCTACCACATGAAAACTTCCAAGATGGGGAAGAAGCTAAAAGAACTTGAGCCTAAGGGCCAGGGAAATGGCTCAGTGGAATAAGTGCTTCCCTGGCAAGCACAAGGGTCTGAGTTCAATCCCTGGTTCCACCAAAAACAAAACAAACAAAAAAAAAAAAAGAACTTGAGCCTAAACTCTTCATCAGGAGTATCAAGGGTGGCCTTGGCTCCCTCCTGGACGCGACCTGCAGACTCTTTGGCTCTTTTTTCTGGTGGACCCACCTACAGGCTGCACCTGGGCTTCATGAGCAGCTGCCCTGAGATTTCGCAGTGCCTCTGGCCACTCAGCCTCGTTCTGAGCCCTGTAGTTCCTAAACAAGAAGTGCATCAGCTGTCTGTCCCGGGGCAAGTTCTTTGCACAGGGTTCAACTGCTCCAATAGCCTGCGCTTTCTGTTTGGGGTGGGTCGCTGCATCTTGAGGCCAAGCTCCAGCTTCTCCAAGCACCAGGCTAGTTCCCAGGCCAGCTGCTCTGCCTGTGCCTCAGCGCTTGGTAGGGCTTCCTCGGGGGCTGGCCTCTGCGGAGCCTTCTCGCCTCCATTTGATACAGAGGTCCTGTTCTGGGCTTGCTTCTGTTTTCTCGAGACTGCGTCGCCTTCACTGCCGATGGGGTGCACCTTGGAGGCAACGTCAGTGTCCTCGAGTTGTTCTGAGCTGAGGGAGACAGAAGAAGGATTCGGGGCTCTGGGGACTGGGCCAGGACGCTGGGATTTGCAGCACGCACGAGCACTAACCGGGCACGGGGCTGCTGGCACCTCTGGAAGAGGATGTTCTAGAGCCGCCATGCACTGGAGTCGGGATACAATTTCTAGGGGAGGTTTATTTTTTGTTTTTAGTGCTGAGGACCGAAATCAGGGCTTCCAGCTTGCTAGGCAAGCATTCACCACTGAGCCAAATCCCTGGCCCCTTGACACAGACACATTTTCTGTTGCAGGAAATTCTATTGTTTAAAAAACTGTCATTCAATCAGATACAAAAGTTACATTTCTGGGTATATAGGTCTTGCTATATCTTGGTCTTAACCATCCAGCAGAAAAGTATAAAAATGAGGTAGATAAAGTAAATCCATATTAATACGATGGGCTGTAAAAGGCTCAAGTCAATAACTTCTGATGATAACCCACTAATATTATAGACTGCTAGACAGTGTCACATTGTTTAGTTGAATTCAAACACTTGTAGTATTTAGATGCCAATAGAATATTCACCTCTGACAGACAAAAAAATTAAAATTAAAAAAAAAAGATACAAAGGAAAGATCATTTGTATTTATATATACAAAATAGGATAAATTTACAGCTACTTTCGCTTAACTCAATGAGAAGAAAGAGGTGTACTAACAGTGTGTGGACAGAATATCCTGTCTGCTTCTTGTACTATGGATAACCACTAAGAAGATAACAATGTACAGTGTATTGACTATCAAAACTGTCCTAATAATCCGCTGTGAAACTGTCTCATTCATATTTATTTCTCAATTAAAAAAGAAACAACTGCCATTCAAGGGCCAGTGAGACAGCTTAGCAGACTAAGTGCTTGCTTTGGCAAGCGCAGGGACCAGAGTTTGATCCCCGGTCCTGTGTGCCACGTCGGCCCTGCCTCCAGGGCGCACTGAGCGAGCGACCAAGTCCAGGCATGGTGCACGCCTGGAATCCCAGCGCAGGGAAGCTGAAAACAGGTGGATCACTACGAGTCTGAGCTGCATCATGAGGCCCTGTACCAAATACATAAATGAAACTAAATACATACTGCCCGTTGGCCCGCCATGCGTGTGATCTCAAAACACTGTGAGGGTGAGGCAGGAAGATGACCAATTTAGGCCCAATCTGGGCAATTTAGCAAAATCCTGTCTCAAAAAAATAAAAAGATCTGCAAAGTGGCATACTCTGAAGGTCAGTACCAAATAAAAGCTGCCATCAACAGTCACCTCCTTGGAGCCTTCCCTAGTCTGCTACCTCAGAGGCAGTGGTTTTTTGGTTTGAGAACGTATAACCCAGGCAGGCCTCGAACTCACAGTGATCCTCCTGCCTTAGCCTCCCAGTGCTGCGATGACAGCATGCACCTCCACACTCGGCAATAGGCAGTGCTGCGTGCAGGGATTTGCAGCACGCACGAGCACTAACCGCACTAACCGGATGGCGCTGCAGACCCCACGCCCCCTGCAGACCTGTGAGCTTGGAGCTGAGAACTGAAGCAGGCTCATCATCACACCGCTTGGGGCGTGGAGCGCCAGCCTGGCCCCGGGCCTGGCCGTCGTAGCTCCTGGTTAACACCGTCTAGCGTTGAATGAGTCAGGCACAACTAGTGGCTCTCTTGTTTCCCAAGAGCCGTGGCTCAGAGCAATTGAGCAGCCCCTACCTGACCTTCAGTGCCACTCCAGTCAGCCATTCGCTTTCAGCTAGTCAACAACCAGCCCCGGAGAAAATCTACCACAAAACGAAATACAACTTCACTGTCCATGGGAACACCATAGTCTCCTTCACCACATCCACCTTAGTAGTGGAAACCCAGGAGCTGCAGAAAAGGGGACAACACTGTCTGCACAGTCTCCCTACCCTGTCCAGTGGACTGTGCCACCTGGAGCCAACCTCGCAGCAAGCTGTGTCCCGTGGCAGCACCACCCTAGCTCAGCCCAGCCTGGTGCCCTGCAGCAGGAGCTGCAGGCCATTGCTGCAGTGACTCCTTAGTCTCCGCAGGGAGGCATCCTGCCCTTCCACAGCACAGGTCTGAGCCCACCTCCGCTCCTCAAACCATAAATTATGATGACTCAGCACCTTTCTTTCCGCTCAAGGTGGGCAAGCAGGCCTGGCCGCCCTCAGCTGGGCTCCAGCCCTGGCACTAATCTCTCATGAGAAAAGGACTTCTTTCTCCACCTACAGGCCTTGTGAGGTAACTCAGAGAGCCAGCAATCCAGCCTGGACCTGGAATCCATCCGTCAAGCACATACAAGGACTTGTCTCTCGTGGCAACAAGAGAAGAAGGGCTTTTCTCCTGGGAGCACATGGCTAGTTGAAATGAAAGCACAAGCCGTGCACACCCCTGTAATCCCAGCACTCAGGAGGCTGAGGCAGGAGGATCGTTGTGCTTGGAGACCATCCTGGACTACAAAGTAAGCGCAAGGCCAGCCTGAACTGCATAGTGCAAGCCTGTTTCAAAAAGACAAAGTAAAAAAAGAAGTGCCTAATTTATCCCAGTCCAAAAGAATTACTGCCCTCAGTGTTCTGTTCAGGACTGTAAGCACAAGCTTCAGTTCCTTTGCCCTATACACACACAATTTACTTACTTCTGACAGCAGTAAGAAAATGAAGGCACGATGTCAACCACGCTCCTTATATCTTCACATAAGAATGTTTTTTTTTTCTTCCTTAGAATTATTTCTACCATCACTGGCCTGCTGAAATTTTGAGGTAAGCTTTTCTGATGTGTTTATGTTCCAAATATTCATAGAAACCAGGAAAATAGCATCATTGCCCAAGACAGTGGGGTTAACAAAAGAAC